TATATATATATATATATATATATTCGAGCCGAAACGAGTCAAACACAAACAAATTTGTGTGGCTCTTTACCTTAGCAAACGAGCCGAACATAAGCTTCTTAACGAGCCGAACACGAATTGTTCGCGAACAACGAGCCGTTTTGACACCCCCTAAGTGTTTCTCTCACTCTGTTAGCCGCCACCTTTGTCGGCCAAGTTTAGTCATTGTCATTGCCTGTCAACTCCAGTCTGTGCCGCCAACTCTGGCCAATGCCGCCCGCCAATTCCTGCCAATGCCGCCCACCAACTCTAGTCAGTGCCCTCGCTGGCTAACTCTGGTTGCCGCCTTCTACGGTCAACTATATCCTACATGGCTTACCGCTCAAGTAGCATTAGATTTGCTTTTGTGGCCTACGGACATCATTACAGCTTCCTGTTATGACTTATATGACCAACTATAACCTACACGGCTCACAGCTCTTGCAACTCCCCACTCTATACGCCTATCGATGTTATCACGACTTGCTACTACGACCTTTGTGATCAATTACGGCCTACGTAGCACTACTCCTTTAGCTTCCTAATATGTCTTCTATGGCCAACTGACGCCTAAAGCAATCATCTATGATCCACATAGCCAACTAGTACTATGGCTTTCAACAATGGTCGATATGGAAAGCTAGTGCCACGACCACCGTTTACAACATTCACGATGGATTATTTCCATAGCTATCGTCTATGACCCTTGAAACCTACTCACCTGAGAACTACATTCATTAGAGCCAAACTACGAAAATTATCGATAAATCACTATTATACATTTACGATGATCTGCTTATAACTTCATTTTTCTTAATTCATGAGAAGTGGACATGTGAACTCACTATTCATGATGGACTATTTCAACTATGCTAGGCCCCATTACTTTTCCTTTTTCACTTTTTTCACATAAAAATTCAAGGTGTTTCCTCTTGCTTGCTTCTTTTTCATTGTCTGCGTGTGTTGGAGTCTCTTAAAATGCTAAGATCTTAAATGATCACTTTGTCCCTATGAACCTTCTGACATACATTAGTTTGGCGCCGTTAGTGGGAAATAAAGTCTCGTTCCACACATTCTTCAAGTTTAAAATATTGGGCCTCTATTTTGTTTCCAAATGATATACTTCATACAACTGTCAAAGGAACTTCTTTTGTACCTCTTGAAAATTACTTCTAAGACATTCTGTGATGTGGGGAGCAACTTTCACTGCAATCTCGAAAGATCGTTCACATCAATATCCAAGGCACGATTGTAGTGGCGGTATTTTTTCCGCATCCCATGCAGACATCAAGTCTACAAAAAGTATTTCCAGGTTAGACGACAACATTCACTGCAGTCTCGAAGAGTCGTTCACGTTAACATCTGGAGCATGACTGTAGGGGCGAGGGGGGGGGGCAAGTTTGTAAATAGTGCTTCCTCCCTACAATCAAAGTTTTCAAGTAGCAGCTGACTTGCCTTTGTGGCCTACGGACATCATCGCAACTTCACTATGACTTATATGATCAACTACAGCCTACGCGGCCCATAACTCACACAACCCCCAATACCCGGTCTCAACGACTTATCAATGTTATCACAACTTGCTACTACGACCTAAATAGCTCCTCCTTTACCTTCCCAATACGTCTTCCATGGCCAACTGATGCTCCTAAAGCAACCTTCTGTGATCCACACAACCAACTACTACCATGACTTTTAACTGCAGCCTATATGACAAGCTAGCACCACGACCACTGTCTATAACATTTAAGGTGGACTACTGTCTCCATAGTTACTAACTATGACTCTTACAACATACTATCACCTGAGAACTACATTAATTATAGCTAAACTATGTCAATTATCGATGAACCACTATTATACACTTACAACGTTCATCTTCGTAACTCCATCTTTCCTAATTCAGGATAAGCAGATCTGTGTACTCAACACACATTATGAATTATTTCAACTGAGCTAGGCCTCATCGATTTTTACCTATTCTGATTTTCCATGTAAAAATTCAAGGTATCCCTTCCTGCTTACTTCTCTTTCATTATCTAATTGTGTGTTGGAGTCTCGTGAAACCATAAAATGGTAAATAATCACATTTTCATATTGAACCTTTCGGCACAAATCATTTTGGTACCATTAATGGGAAATGAAGTCTCGTTCAACACAATCTTCAAGTCTAAGATATTGGGTCTCTACTTTGTTTCGCAATGGTATATTCTTACAACTGGCAAAGGAACATCTTTCGTACTTCTTGAAGATCACTTCTAAGACATACTTCAATGCAGGGGGCAACTTTCATTACAAAGATCACTTCCAAGACACAATTGTAGCGGGAGTAATTTTTTCGCATCACATGCAGACATCAAATCAACAAAAAGTATTTCCATGCTCGGGGGCAACATTCACTAGTGTCAAAGGGTTAACATCCAGGGCATGAATATGGTGGGGGTATGCATCCCACATTTCATCCATACTGGTGGGCAACTTCGTAAATAGTGCTTCCTCAGTGCACACATCATTTAGATATACAATTCGTAAAAGCTGCATTGCGAATTTAGATAAATTTCTTAAAAATGATAGACTTAGCAAACAAACTCCAAAATTTGCCGGCTGAAATGTCTCTTTTATCACCCCTTAAATTAAAAAGAAAATGTGAAGGACAATGCAGACATTCGGATGATCATAAAGTTGTTCGAAAATTATAAGTAATTTTATGAGTTATTTTAGTCGCACTTCTTTCTATCAAAGTTGGCATCGATGTATCTGTCCTTTCTTCCATTCATACATTGATCATTAAATGAGTAAATAGAGGGCTGAGATATCCGGACTTTTTTTTTTTTTTTTTTTGAAATATTTTTAAAATATAATGGTATATAAATTTAAGAAAATTAAATTATATATTGGATTAATTTAACTTCGATTTAAAATTATAAATAAATAAAAAAATATTAATGATTATTTTTTGGGGGATTTACATATATACTACTTAAAACATAAACCTACAAGCACTATTTCTCTTTGCCTTCATTCAAAGCATCCCGGCAACTTCCATTCTAAGCTAGGGCTGCTATAGGCACATTTTAGAAGGGCCCAATTGACTTGGGAGGGAAACAAACATGTTACAATTCAAATCCCTGATCTTATGCTAATATCATCGCTCTTGGATCTAGCAACCTATGTTCTGACTACCTTTCGTTTGATTTTTCTGCCATTTAGAAATGTCAGAACAATCGCTCTATAAGTTTTTTCTCTTATTATTATTATTATTATTATTTTTTTTTCGTTTTGTAAGAAATGCAAATGTATGCATAGTAGATGTTTTATCCCATCTTTCACGAGTAAGTATTGCATCCAAATGAGGATGATAGTAGTTTAGGTGCTATTGGTGGTATTATGATTAAATAACACCACAGTACTATCAATAACGCCTAAAAATACTAATAGTCGTACCTACTAAATCCGAACGTAATAGCAACTTTATTCCACATTTAAGATTGGACTACGTCAATTATAAAGTTTTTGGAAAAGGCTTTGACAAATTAACACCAAAAATGTTAAAAGGTACATTAAAGGCTTGACAAAATGATGACATTACGTTGTTTAAAATAATGTTAAAAGGTTGCAATATTTGTCCATTTGTGGATGCTTGATACAATGTTTGATGTAATATTAAATTCGTCATCTAACTAATAATAATAAAAGACATATGGCTTGATGTTATATTTTCTTTGGGACTGATAACAGATAATATTATCTAGATAAATTGGAATAATCTAAATTGGTGTTAATTTTAATTGCTATCTAGACTGAGTCAATCTAATAGCAAAAAGGAACGAGGAAGAAATAGCAGTCAAAGATGATTATCATAACACAAAAATCAACTTGAGATTCATTGGTATAAACATGAAAAATAGTAGTTGTGCGCAAAACATTTATTAACGACTAATTCAAATATTATTTAAAATACCCTGTAGATATTGTCAATGTTAGAATACTACTATTTGATTAGATTGGCATCTCTACATGGCTATTGTCAATGTTAGAATATCACTATTTGATTAGATTGGCAACTAAATGACACCAGTCTTTTCCTTCGGTACGCATGTATAGCCTCATCAACTTGCAGCAAAATTATTCCTTGATGGAAATTATAAGCAGTTTTTTAATTGCTACAGGTATTGTTAGTTTAGTCCAATGAAATAAGTTAAATTCTTCACTTTATTAAAGTCTCTTCCTACATTTGGTCAAGATACTGGTAAGCATCAAAATATCCCAAAGAAAGAGAAATCCATTTTAGGCAAAGGTATAAGACTGATGATGATAGTGAAATAAGCCTAAAGCAGCTTATTAAATAAGTGCACTTATTCTAATAGCTGATCCACCTATAAAAATGAAACTAACAAAATTAGATCATATGGTTTCAGGACTTATCTGGCTCAAGAAACGAATACTTACGGTTCTAAAAGTTTTTGTTGAGCTATAACCGAACAGGAAGAAAATGCAAAAAATTAGAACACAGAATATATCTTCATGAAAAAACAATTACATTTTGTAATATTCGAAACCTATATTTACAAGATATTATCAACATCAATGCAAATAACGCTATTTTCTCCTTTTTTTTTTCTTTTTTTTTTCCTTTTTTTTTTCTTTGTTAGTTACAAAATACAAAACGCCCACCAAACACGGGTTATGTGGTTCAGGCAAGTTTTGAGTTCCATTTCTAAGCACAATGATAAAGTAAAGGTACTATTTATTAATTGAACAAACAAAAGCAATAGCTTAGAAACACAAAGTTAACTCTGGAGAGAATAAAAGGCTATATATCTGAGTGCTGGGCTGACAAGATCATTACCTCTAGTGTTCAGCACCAGTTATTCGCCATCCAGGTGAACCATTGCTCGTAGAATAGCATCAAATGCATCGAAAAGGAACCACATCACGAACTCTATTGAGCAGAAACAACGTTACATAAGTGATAGTAGTTAGTCTGCATCAACATGGTCAGTTATGGACTGCTTTTTTGCCCGGTCTTAGTGAAAGCACAGGACCAGTATAAGAACTTTTGCTCGCAAGTGAATGGTCTAGAAACAAAACTATTACAGTAATGTCATCATGAAAGTGTCTCCGGATACCACGCTCTATTTTTCTGAGGTCAGAGTACCTCATCTCTCTTTTCCTTGCTGCAACTTGTAATGCCGCTTCAATAAGCCTTTTCGCAATTCCCTGCACATTATCAGAGTTCGAGGATAATCATTTTTTTCTAATGCCCATATTATAAACTTAACATAGTGCCACATCTGGTATTCACATTATTTTTATTATCCTGTGATAAAACTGCAGAAAATTTAATTAAATAAAAAGGTAAATAATATAAGACTTTTTTTTTTTAACAAAAGAAAATTCTTATTTTAGATATGATTCCTATTGGGAAGAAAAAAAGCTAACAAGGTTTAAAAAATACCGATAAGTCATAAGATGTTAAAAAATTAAGAAAGATAACCAGAAAGTTGAAATTGAGGCAAACCAACATTATGAACCATAATTAATGTCCGACTATAACAAAATGAAACCGAAAATAATGTGCACTTATGCTCTTCATAATCTATATGAAGAGTTAACAGCTTTGTCTTATGGTAATATTTTCCACTCGACATTTAAACTGAGGCACCTTTGTGTTCTTCATACCATTTTAAGCAAAGCATGGTCTGGGAATTAAATAGAGAATTATATCTGTAATAGATTCATTTTACTGCTGATAAAGATGCGCTCTACAGAATCAATATGAAAAAATCTACAGATTTCCCTTGAACAAATATTCTCCACTTAACCAGATATGCACCGCTGTGCAGCATGCCTTTGTAAAAAACAAGGTTATGGGTTAAAATGGAGAATGATAAAAGTATTAGATTCGTTTTTCTTCTTGGATAAAATGGGAAAAAAATTTGACAAAAAATACCAAAAAATATGGAGCATAAAAAGAGTATGAAAATGTATGCATGCTCCGTGCTTTTCAATACAACATTTAAAAAAAAAAAAACGCAAGAATGTCTCTGTAACATATAGATGCGATTGAGGAAGACAAAATTGATTCAATGTGATTCTCAGTTTGCCGCTAAAGTGAGAATGAACGTTCTTAAGAAAATTAGCCATACATAGCACCCAAAATCCTCATAAGTAAACATGGTCATTGCACAAAAGACTAAAACAAGATGTAATGCAATAAATTAAAACGTTGCAACTGTTAAAAAAATGAAGAGAATAAATACAATTATTTTAGACAAGATTCACGATTGATGACTTAAATTGAACTTTAAAGCAATTTCAGAGTATAGTATGAAGAAATAGAAGTTCAAGTATGTACCATATTTTAAATTGGAAAAATAATGCATTTTCTGTTCAACATAAAACATATCAAAAGAAAAGCTTTAAAGATAGTGTATAACAGGATAACATCTTACACTACGGGGGAAGTTTTGAACCATATCCACAGCTTCTTGGTTAGTCATGTGCTCCCACAGGCCGTCGGATGCAAATATCACAAACTGATCTTGTGGGCATATCTTATGCGTCACTACTGATGGCTCGGCTGATAGGATTGGCTTAGAAAATGATTCTGGAACACGAAACTTTCCAATAAGAGGTTCTTTATTGAATTCTGCTTTCTTCAAGTATGCATCTCCAATAGATCGGGATACCTGCAAAAAAGTATATTACAAAACTAATGCAAATACAACATCTTGAGTTAACAATGTTCCAAAGGCCAACTAAATTAAAGAGCAGGTACAAACGAGTAAAGATAAAGCAAGGCCAGGTGTGATGAACTTGGCAAGTCAAAACATTAAATTCGATACAAAATACCAAGGATTTGCTATTTAAGAGAAAGTCATGTCATGAAAAGAATCAGTAAATAAATTAATGGTGGAAGGGTAAAGTTAAATTGCAAATATCTGTTAGCAGCTTTATAACATCATTTAATTTGATCAAGTGATGTTTGAATTAAATAACAAGAAAAAAAAAAAAAAAAAAACTGCATTGGCAGGTACAAGGATCATAGAATTTCTTTAATTTGTGATGTCAAACAAAGGCATATTGCAACCTCCAAAATTTTCTCTGCCCACAGGTCCTTATCATTAAGTATTACAATAAAGCAACAGAAAAAAGAGATTTCTTTTTGCTGAAACAGGAGAGATATAATAAGGGAAAACTACATTCCTAGCACTCAATTCTTATGCATTTACATATCTCGCACCAAAACTTTCATATTTACACACATTTCAAATTTAAAAGTGGTAATAGTGCTATTTTTGTTCTAATATTAAGGATTTGAGATCTATGTGTGCAAATATGAAAATATACGTGTAAGGTATGCAAATACATAAGAATAATGTGCTATGTATGTAAATGCCCCAATAATCAAAGGAACGAGTCCTAACCTGTATGATCCCTTTAACACGCCAAGCCCTATTTTTTAAAACCACAATTTTCGGATCATCAGGATGCATTAAACGAAGTTCTTGTCTAACAGACTCATGACATGCATTGTGCTCCTGTGTCAGTTGCACAGCCATAACGCCCCTTTCATTCATTTTGAATCTTCCCAACACAGCACGAGAATCTCCAAGGTTTGCCACATAAAGCATGCCACCACATACAGACCCAGTTAAACAGCATGATCCAACCGTTGCTAAAAGAGGCATGTTTGACCAGTTTTTCTTGACATTTGATAGGAAGCCATCCTCCGTTGCCGATAGTGCTTTGCGTAGAACATCCACTGACATGCCCTCCTCTTCATCTATGAACCCTACATGCACAAGCATTAACGTTATGAGTACTCGGTGTCATGAATCATAACAATGAATAAATAAATAAATATATATATATATACACACTTGAGATCGATGCACATAAAAGTTGTTGGAGAATTTATATTCATAACATGCAATTTTAATATATCACTACAAGATTTCACAAAATTCCGACGGTCACATTCCGTCGGATATTACGAAATAAACATCGGTTATAACTTTTCCGATAGTTTGCTGACTGTTTAAAGGTCTTAGCAAAATACTTGTTGATAATTTATAAACCGACGACTATTCTGACGTCTTTTTTTTGGGCGGTGGTTTTTCGATCAATATGGATCGTCGCTTTTGGATAATTCAATAAGCATACGACAACCGTTAGTTGTTGTCAGTTTTTTATTATAAAAGAGATAATCGTCGTAAATAATTGACAAGTAAACTGTTAGTTAAATATAGCAACCGTTTATTTTTTTATGAAATAAGATTTGTTAGTGCTTGTCGGTATATTAACCGTCACGTGGGTCGTCAATTAATTATCAGTTTATATTGAATTTAAACCATCGATTTCCCATCAATTAGGCGTTAGAAATATAACCGACGATTTAAGCCGTCGGTTTTCACGACAACTGTTCGATGCATCAACAGAAAACTGACAATAGGCCGTCGGAAACCTATAACATAATATGTGTGTGTGTGTGTGTGTGTGTGTGTGTAGATAGATAGATATATACACCTCTTTCATTATTACGATTTCCACACATGCAATCGATGCACATAAAAAGTGAAATAAGCACAACACTTTTTAACCAATCCAAACATTTGACAGAGTAAAATAGCAATAGAAAATTTTCAAATCGAATAGAAAATTAAACGAAATGCATTTAATTAAAAACACACACACATTTCTTGGGTAAAGAAGCAAAGTGAGAATTGGTACTGAAACACTGTACGATAGAGAAGAATATGACAAATACCATTAAGACGAATTAAGCAAACAAGCTAATTGATAAAAGTCAAAAAATAAAAAAATAAGAAAACAAGAATGCAGATAAAGAAGTGCAATAAAGCAAAAACATCAATACGACTTTTGTCCCACCTATTTGTGGTTGGTAGAATCATTATGGATAGTCCTTTTTTTTTTATTATTATGCACTAATAAAACATACCGATTCCATATTAATTCCCATTTATTCCAAACTGCATGCATCCAGCCCCTTTTTCTTTCCTGAGTATTAACAATAATTCTAGCTTTCTCTCCGAATGTTGCATGCTTTCCTTCTGAATGCCCATGCTTCTCAACGTTCTTACCATTACTACATAATCAATCAGTGTTGCTGGTGAACAAAAGAACAGATGTGGTGCCAATTTACTGATGGGGCCTTGATGAAGGATTCATGCTTCCTCTTCTACATTCTTCTCTCGAATCTACCTATGGAACCACATGTTAGTCCTAGAATTCACTAGAGAAAGCTTTTGATACTTAGATTTTGAGGACTAGGGAAGTTTTAAAGGAGATAGAATCTCCATGAGGATCTGGATATTTGTGTAGTATGATGAGAGAGAAAGAAAGTGAGAGAGAGAGAGATGCCAGGGAAAGGGCCCGGTAATTGTTTATTGCTGAGTAGAGGGGGTTTGTAAGAAGAGAAGGTAAGAGAGAATTGCATGAAGAGAGATAACAGGTAGAATACATAAGAGAAAATATTTTCAAATTTTACGCATAATTGGATATATAAATTACAAACACTCAAATCCCTGTACATGTAATAAAAATTTAAAATGAAACTAATTTTAAATTTGATTCTGGATAAGCTCTAAAAATCCTATCAAATAATTTAAAATAAATGAAATCCTAAGAATTAAAATTGATATAAAAATCCTGAAACAATCCAGAAGTGCTGCAAATATTTTTAAAAAGACTAGAATAATTTTTATGCTTTCCTTGTATTGTGTTAGTTACTCCCCACTCCAACAATCCCATCTCTTTTCTATTTTCTTATGCTATCATTTGTCAATTTAAACTCTGTATTTTCAAAAGCGCCAGGTGCACTAAGGACGATTTAGTTGCTTAAAGCTTGAAGCATCATACGCTAAAGGCATTTGCCCGAGCAAAGTGAGGAAATAAGAAAAATAGATGCATCATTCATAAATATAAAATATCCAATGTGTAATATTGAAGAGTAGAAAATAAAAACCATCACATTACATTATGTCCTGCAAAATCATAAAATGGTGAGTCCCATTTCATTCCAAGTTTGAAATTCAAGCAAAATAAATTACATTAAGGTAGTAACAAAAGGGTTTGTAGCATGCATAATCTAGAGACAACACAATATCCATTACTATTTATTCCATTTTCGTCATCAGCAATGCATTATTGTCTACCAAGAAACCTGTAGCTCATCCTCTATTTTCATGGATTCATCATCAACATCATCAAGATTTAGTATTATAGAACAAAAGTGCTTGCACCAACATTTGATCAACTTGTTTCAAAGTATGCATAATTGTTTCTTCAACCCTTGATGCTACACATCATCTTATGTTAAGTCATCATCATCAAGAACTAGATCATCTTCAACGTATGAAACACTTGCCTCCATCCTCAAATCAAAGCAGAACACTCACAACATAGTGACATTAGGTAAGGAATTTGCCTAGGAATGCCTAAATAATGTTTTCCACTTGTAAGGTGCGAAGAACTATAATACCCGCTCTCCTTGTGCAAGTGGCTCTGCAAGTGCCCAACTCATCTTTGACAAGATTAGTCATGGAACAAAAATCTTCAATTCTTATTTAACAAGAAAAGCTTTTCCAACCTTTTTGTTACCCAAACTTAGATTTTTGAAGATGGTTGATGAACACCATTGGCCAAGTGATATAGTGGTGCATCTAATAGAGAGGCCCAAAGTGCAAAAACCTCTTAAAATCTTAAAAAGTTAATGAATGTTTTTTCTTGAGATGGCGCTCTCAGATCATTAAGACTCTCCATCCACAAACAATGCTCATTTTTGAACCTCCATCCTGGGTACAAAGTGTAAATCCCTCCTCAAAATTAAAAAAAGTTAATAAGATGGTAATCTCATTCACTAAAACTCCCTAGCCACAATCAATGCACATTAACGAACCTCATTCTGGGTAGATGCAAACGCATACAAATATCACCATTCTTTTTTATTAAAGAATTAATAAGCCTTTTGTCCTTCAATTACTCCAAACCCCCATCGAAACCTAAACAAATTTCTCCCTCCTTTGTTCAGACTACTAACATTCCTAAATCTACCAAACTTACGCCATCAAATCATCACTATAATCAAAATCTTTTTCCATGGAACAAGAAACAGGGCTTCTATACCAACAGATAAGCAAAATCTTAATAATTAACGAATCAAATAGATTTACTTCAAATTTTCCTGCAATCGAAAAACATGTACATCGCAAAAATCTCATCCACCAGCGTCATCCAAACAAAGAATACACAAAACATACCAACAAATCAAAATCATCAGCAAAACTTTCCAATTCCACATGAAAATACAGATTCAAAGAAGCTTACTTCTGATCCACTGAAAAAGATTGTCCGCAACGTAACGCGCGGCCTCCGGCCCACCATGGCCGTCATAAACCCCGACGAATGTCCCGTGGGACCCGGACTCGATCTGGCTAGCATCTTCAAGAAGGCTGTTGGCCTGCACCACCGCCATCGAAAACTCCCCAGCCGCGTGACGGCTTAGGTCCCGGCACCACATCAGCGCATCTCTCCCGCCGGCGCAATCGAAATAAGTATCCAAGCTTCGGCCGCAGAAAGTGCCGACAATCTTCATCAGAGGACGAGCCATCCGTATCTTCCCTATCTGAAACTTACGGAGAGAAGTTCTCCGGCGGACCAAGAAGATCGAGATCGGGCCGCAAGGCAATAAATCATCAAAGATCGTAAGATCGGACGAAAGAAAACTGATTCAACAGTCAATTGACTTCGGATCGCGGATCATGGTGTCCGCAAAAAATCTTCAAAGAAAGATCCAAGGTCGAGAATATCGACCTCTCCCTCTCTCTCTCTCTCTCTCTCACCCTCCTCCTCGATCTCCCGTGTCCCCGTTATAGCTGCCTCGGCGCCGTCTGTTTTTATATCCCAACCATTTATGGGGTGATCCAAGCTGATGTTTTTTGCAATATTTTAACCATTACAAGATAGTTGACGAATTTAAAAGAAGAGCTTGCCAAATTGTAATGATAATAATAATTTTATGCTGGACTAAAAATAAATTTATTTAATAAACTTTTTTTCTAGTTGACGGCACTTTAGAAGTAAAAAAATCAATATTTTGTGTTTTCATTATAAAAATTGGATGAAACAGGGTAGTGTTGTAAAAAAAAAAGCTCGTTATTCGCAAATATCATGTTCGGTTCGTTAATGAGTTTGTCTTTGATTCGTTCTAAAAGTAAACGAGACGAACGTGAACAAATTTTTTTCATTCGGTTAGTTAAACGAACCAAACACGAACAGTGGTGCGTTCGTTTGTTCGTGTTCGAATCGTTATTATTTGAAATATAAAATAATTTAAAATAATTACATGTAAAAAAATTTATGATAATTTAAAAAATTAAATTTTATAAATTATAATATATAATAAAATAATAATAATAATATATTAATATACTATATTTGTAATATACTAATATAGATATTATATATTTAAATAATATAAGTTGTATAATTAATATAATATATTATTTATATATATTAATATTAGAGATGTCAAACTGGCTCGTTGTTAGTGAACAACTCGTGTTCGACTCGTTCGTTAAGAAACGACACGAACAGTGACTTCACGAACAATTTAGAACACGAGTTTATTTCAAAAAAAATTAAATTTCAAGTGAACCAAACACGAAAACAAACTCTGTTCGTTTACACCTCATAGTGATAATTTTAGCATAAAGTGCATATGTTTATATTTGAATCCAAAATTTAACTTTTAGATTTGATAAAGCTTAATAGCAAATAAAATCTTTATTGCTCTAAAAATTAGTGATATAAAATATTAGGATTTGGTTGACAAATGTTTTATTTTATTCATATTTTAGAAAGATGTAAATTAGAGATTAGAACAAAATTAACTTGTGCTTGTTTTACTTTTTAATGTTAAAAAAAATAAATTAAATTTCTTTTCTTGATACTTTTATGAGTTTTTATTTTTTTTCTTATTATATAATTTTTCTAATATTTAGAATGAGAATTATATTTTAATCTACTTTGTTTCAACTTGCTAATTTTGTATTATTATAATATTCTATTATATTTTTTTAATTTTAGGTTACGTAGGGGTGTAAATGAGTCGAACACGTGCGAGCCTAGGTTCAGCTCGTGTTCGGCTTGTTTATATTTTGAGTTCAAAAAGTGTGTTCGTGTTCGGCTCGTTTGCTTAGCAAGTCGATAAAATGTTAAGGGTTATGATAATATTTAAAAATTATTGTTTATATTAAAAGATGTTATGAATCTAATTTAATATTTTTTATTCTATTTTCTTAATTAATGGTTTTAATTGATTATAAATCTTTGTAGCCTTGTTGTCAGTTAAATTTTTTAAAAATACTACTCATCATATATATATA